TAGTCTTCTAAGAGAAAATATAGTCTGTCTTTCTGAAAATAGATACTTGGAATTGCATTTGGAAACATACTAGGGAAGCTATTTGAATAAGGGAGCTTACATTCCTTATTTAACCTTTATGTGCAACACAGCTTATTCTTAACAGGAACACTTAAAACTACAGATTTAAGAAACAGTTTCTCTTTATCTGAAATTGCTGTATGTCCTCAATGTTGCCAGCATTGTCATGTTCCAACATGTGAAATTACAGGCACTTCCACACATCAACCATCTTCACTTTCTTACTTCAAACCTTCAGACATATTCAGTATTCCCCAGAAACTGACAAATGCTGCCTTCACTGATTAATGGGAATTTGCAAAATTGATACTCCAGCCAGCATTCAGCTTTGCTCTCTGCCTTTGTCTCTTTGTATTTGAAATCATAAGGAAGTAAATGAAGCTGCCATTAAGTAGTATACTGAAATGATGGCTATCTTTTTGGCTCTAAGGAAAAAGCATAGAGATATGGCAGTTAGGCATCAAAGCACCTTGGCTCCACCAGTAAAGGAAGAAAGGTGAAGCTATGAGGTAATTTTTGTCACTAGGAAAACGCCCAACTGGCTGCTCCACTATTAATGTTGCGGAATTCTTATAAAGTAATGGGATTTCATGTGCTCAGTTGTTGAAGAAAGGCCAAACCCCCAAAACAAGTGGATACAGAACTACAGAAACATTAAATGTATAGAGACTGTAAAGATATAAAGTATATCTTGTTTCTTGCCAATCTGGCCCATCTTTCTCTTTCTTCCATTTCAAAGAACTAACATTTAATTGTAAAACAGGTAACCGGCAATGACCAAATCTCATATTATTGTAGTGATATTTTACATAATGATTTTTTTTTGCTTATTAAAAAAAAACTTTTAAAAAAGAGTAGCGTCCAGTTTCAATTCTGAAAAACAAGTAACAATTTCAGAAGATGGCTTTATTCACTCCTTTTCTTTTCAGATGCAGGGACAGATCCTGCAGAGGAAAGAACCCCTATCAACTGAGCCCATCGCTAGACCAACTTTTATAAGGGTTGAATACAAATTTAAGACATATTTTAAAAATAGATATGGAAGAGAGAGAGAGATTAAGCAAACTAAAAACAAAGTTCATTTATAAAAGGTACTTATGTCAGTAATCCTGGAAATAAGATAATGAGGTCAGAGCAATTTAGCAATTCCTCCTTATTTCTAGCTTGAATGTCTCCTTGATCAGTTTCAATGGCCAACAACTTAACTCTGGCTTCAACTCTGTTAAGAGAGGGAAAAACTCAAATTTCCAGATAAGATATTGAGCAACAGTTATCTTTTTCATCTTGATGAGTTTCCATTTTCTGGAAACCAGGAACCAGGAAAAAAGTACTTTACTTAGCACTTTTCAAAAATCTGGCTCCCCCCAAAAACCATCATTGCCTCCCAAAACCTACAAAAACCTGAACTGAGTCTGAGTTCAGCACTGAATATGGTTACACTGGTTGGCTATACATGTTCTTTCCTTAAGTTTTAACACATTTCTCATTTTCAAAATAGTAATTCTATTACTTAAGCAACAGATTATGAATACATGATTGAGCTATAACATGTTTCTCAGACAAGAAACCAATATTTTGTATCAAAATCTGAAGACAATAATGGTACCTAGCATTTGCCCAACAGAATTGCTCCAAATCCAGTACAAAGAAACAGTGGCATTTATAAGACCTATATAAACTTAAAATACTCTGATCAATATCACAATATATAAATCTAAACAAGAAAAAATATGATCCACAATACTCTGATTCAGAATGAGGTCTCAATGCAAAATGTGGGAGTTATCAATCAACAGGAGTATTACATTTAAATTTCTATTCAAATTGGGTTTTTTGTCTTTGTTTTAAGGTTCAGGAATGCCTATACTATTCTACAGGTCATCACATTAGATAAAAAGTATAGCTGATCAGAATAAGAAAATGGTATTAAAATAATTCATTAAATAGAACAACAGGACTAGTATATAATGAGAAGGAAGAAATGTAGAAATTTTTTTAAAAATGAAATATGTATGTAATTTTGCTTAGCATGCATGTAATTTTTCCCATATATATCTTTATCCACATATAAACTCATCTTCCTAAAGTATTATCCTTTAAATGGATTGTATTTCAAATCCAGTAATTATCCTAATCAATTCCTATAATCATTCCCACACCTGCAGGACATTGGATAAGGAAGTCTGAATTATATTATCAGTTGAGACTGCACAGAAAAAAAATCAGCTGTATGATTAATGTTAGCCACCCAGAATGTCATGAACAGTTGGGGAGGCATACAAATGCTTGTATTATAATTTGGTTGGTTTTATTGTAGACCACCCTCATTGTCTGAAGTTTAGGTAGTGCCTAAATTAAAGAAGTTAAAATAAAAGCCCTTGTCCTAAATATTTATTTAGAATGTAGATTTATTTAGAATCTTTAGAAGCCATGCCTCTCAACAATAAAGAGACTTTGGCCTATTTACAAACAGTAAGCAGATAAATATAAAACAATTAAAAAATTTTTAAAAGTATATAAAAATTAAAATCAAAGATGTGGATGTCATAAGTTTGAGATCTTCTTACCCCGTCAACCAATGGTGAGTGCCCCTCTTGGGTTCCCAAGCCAACCAGCAAAACTAGCCTTTAATATCCTTCTGGAAGGCACATTGCTAACAGATATTAAATTTATATTATGCAATATAAGGTATTGAATAATGTGAACAAGAGTGCTTCTATCCCTCCATCCCAAGCATTTCATTTTTGGATGACAGATAACTAACCAAAAGCCACCTACTAAGCTTTGTTGCCAAGTAATGATTTGAAGATGAGTTTTCATTCCCATTACATCAATGTATCCCCATATGGAAGAAAATATCTCCAGAAGCATTATAATTTTTCATACTTCATGACCTTATGTAGACTGTTAGTTAGCTAACATGACTTATCTAGTTTTGTGTCTTCTAGAAGTCTTGAAATTTTATCTGCTAAATTTCTGGCCCTGTGACACAAAGGTAAAATACCTTTTCATAATATTAGAATATATAATGACAAAGAATTACTCACAGCTTTGGCTTAGCAAGCACAGGTGGTGGTGTTTTTGTGGGTGAAAGCAAATCGCCAGCGTGGGATTTGTCAGTTTTGGTGTTGCCATTAATGATCCCATTGACTCCATGGGTAGGATGAATTCCATTGGTTTTCTTCTCCACAGAGTTAAGTTGTAATTCAAAAGCTGCTACATTTGAGTTGGAATGACTGATCTTGGAGTACTCTGAATGCTTTGGAGGAAGCTCTACAGAATTAATCTCAGGAAATGAAGGTGGATGTGGGAAATGTTGAAAGTTATCCTCATTCTGTGCTCTCGTTGACAGATCATGGCTGGCGCTTTTGCAACTGGCTAAAATAGAAAGGAAAAAAATAGCACATAATAGCATCATAACAGATTATTTAAATTATCCTATTTTATTTCATTGAAAATGAGATCATTACTTTAGTCAGTTACATTGAACTGTTATGCCAAGAAAGACAGTCATTTTCAAATTCTCATGAATGTTTGAACTTAAAGATCATAAATAAATATTTATTTACTGTTATTATTCATGTTACAAGTGGAAATTGAGTTGAGAATAGTAATTAATTTATGCTCAGTATTGACTAAGTGAATGAACTATGTGTATCAATCTTATTTGAATTAATCACAGATATATAATACCACTGTGTATGAAAAACACTGACTTATTCCAAGACTTTTGTATGCATTTCTGGTTTAAATTTAATACTCACAAGAAAATTACCGGGGGGTGGGGTTGGCTTTTGTTTTTAAGTATGAGTTACTCATTTTTTCCATTTTGCCTCTGCTGCCACCTAGCCTCAAAATCTTAATGTTAAAATTTGATTAAACTTATAATTAATTTCTCCCTCTATGTAGTAGAAAACAAAACAAATATGGGGGGGATATGGATAATTATTCAGGAATTTACACGGTGCCAAGGTATAAAATATCCACATTACACATTCCTTCCTGGCAGTTACAGAAACCAGAATTTATAGGAATATATTCTTAACTGACATCATAATGAAATATACAGCTGACTACATGTTTTATCATTAATACATAAAATGTTTTATTCTTATTAATTTCTTCATAATTTAAAAAATATTGACTGAAGTAGATATAAAAGAAAAATCAGAACCATTTTGTGCTAGCTAGAAACCATGGGGGTTTTACTTCAATACACCTGAATGAGGAAAGGAAATAGTTTCATTTTTCAATATAATTGTACACTCATAATGGCAAGATAATTTAATGCATATCTTAGCTTTTTACTATATCAGTACATTTCTTACATAGTTTTATTTTTGTAGTTTGTAATCCAATTGAAACAGAGGTCAAATTTCTTCTTTTATAATTAGCAGCTGTATTTTTTGTAGTTGGATCCACAGAGTTTATTTTACTGCATTTCCTAATGCCACCTTTAGACAAGATTTGTGAAATAGAAATAAAATAAGTAAGTAAGATTTAGTTCAAGGTTCCCAATTTTGGCAACTTTTAAGGTGTGGACTTAAAACTCCCAGAATTCAGCTCCCAAATTTCCCCAACCACGCATTTAAAGTTGTCAAGATTGGGAACCCCTATTTTATAGGATTATATAGAATACTTTTAGATATGTCATTATACATTATACTTTATACATTCTTTTTACCTTGATGTAAAGTAATACATCATCAGTAAAAGATGTGGAAAGATAACATACAATGGTACTCTAAATGTATGTGGTGCAGCTGGGTCCAAACATCACTCTGTTTCATTTATATTGTAGACAACACAACCCACCCAAAAACTGAATACCTGACAGCACAGTCAGTTTGGCAGTGCTTGTGACTGATCCATAATCATTGCTTGCCATGCATGCAAAGATTCCTGCATCTTCAGGAAAAGTCTCTGCAATCACCAAAGTACATATCTCTTCTAAAAGGCAATCAAAAGAAAAACAACAATTTTGCATTAGGTTTCACATAATTAGCTTTGGAATTCACAATATTTAGCCTCAATCTTAGATCTAGGACAAAAATAAAATGTACAACAATGATTTGCTTTATTGGGAGGCTGCCTTTCTTGATGAGCATCTTAGCCCTCTGCTCTTTTAAACTACTATAAGTAGTTAAAGCAAACACCTTGTTCTTTCCATCCTAAACCATTTACTAGATATTAAAAGCAGTCTAAATCAAGCTTATCATCTAATCAATCCAGAGTTCTCAAGATACAAGTGACTAAGCTCAGATTCTCCTACTTTGGATATATTATGTGAAGACCTAGCTTCTTGGAGATGGTTCTAATAGTGGGAATAGTAGAAGAAAAGAGAAGAAGAGGTATATCAGAAAGATCAGATTACAGATAGATCATCATGGAAAAAAATCTATGTTGTCATCTAAGAGGTGACAACAACTTTATACCACATAATGCCATCTAACCCAAGAAGACTGACTATAAATACAAAAAGCTATTGATGCATATGGCAAAGCAACTAATAGCTGTAGTGTACCATAAAGTTACAACAGTTCACTCAGCAACTGTTTAAAGTTATGACATAACCCCCCCCAAATACTTACAACCCAAAGTTACAAATGTTACAGCACCATGGCCGTCATTCACGCTTACAAATGACAGCAGAGGCACTACAGCATTCACCCTGCCTATCCCTCACCTCCACCGGGACTCCAAAGCTATTGGGCCTGTGGAAACTCACTTACCTTGTTACAAACTAGTGAGCCATCAGTTTCCTTGCCTGCTTCAGTGCATATGCAGAAAATAGACGCTTAAAGTAGTGAGAGATCATGCAAGATCAGTAGTGTGAAATCTCTGCTGTCATTCGTAATTAACTTTACAAATAGATAAAGTAACCTGGTCTTTCTGATATATCTCTTCTTCTCGAAATCTTGTGCTACTGATCTTGCATGATCTCACACTACAGTACTTTAGGTCTCTGTTCTCTATGAACCAAGGCCTGCACAACATCCACTGCAAAAGGCTTTGCAGAGGGAAGGCCTCATGTGCACTTACGCCCAGCGCATTTGATTAGCAAATGTATGGGTGAAAGGAGGGAGTAATCGCAGTCAAGTTACGTGATTCACTCCTACAAATCCTTGGGTTATGAATGTACTTGGCAGGCTCCATTACATTTGTAACTCAATGACTACCTGTATTTTATTGCAGATGAGCCTTACGTTAAAATTGGCTTGGAATTGGATGCTGATAAAAAACTACAACATATGGAACAATATTTAATTCCCTCTAAATTCAGTTGGCCTTTCCTGTGACTGCTTCAGGACTAATTCTTCTCCTTACCCAAGATACTCAAGCATTCAGAAGCACTAATGGTTTATAGTATGACAATTTTACAATATATACCTACACATGTGTGTACATATCTTCTATTATAGCCATTCTTAAGCAGCTTATGCCAAATAAGATTAAGATAATGTATTTACTATGTAATCATCCATAAAATTTAAAAATTCTAGTTAAAATAATTCAGTTCAGATGGGTATCAAGGCTCTTGAGATAGCACATAAAAGCCTTTTTCCCAATAGCGAGAAGTACAACTGAAAACTCCTGGTTATTTGGGCAACCAGGGTATTTGCTTACATTCCAACCTTTTTATTCATTTAAGAAAGGGCTAAAATCTGCACCCAAATACAATCTAACTCAATCTTTTCTATACTGTACCTTTATTTAGAAGCAATGCCAGCCTGAACTAACCATCACTTGGCTTTCCAGCATCATCTGCTATTCTGAATATTCTTTTCTAATAATAATAGATTACATAATTCAGGACTTCTATACTAGTTGTTCACCGACACAGACCAAAATAAAAGCTTGTATCCCCGCATTTATTATAAGTCCTTCCCATCTTATTACTGTAATAAATTCTGTTTAATGGCAAAAAGTGTCTAAGTTCATACATGATTTGCTTTAAACATAGTTTTTAGTCAAACCTTAATGATCCAATGCATAGATAATGTTAAGTATTGGCTGCAGCTAACAAATAGTAAGTTTATTACATCATCCCCATTGTGTTTCATATTAATTGAGAATACCAGCCTTTGAGCCAAGTTTTTAAAACTCAGCTTTAATTAGCTAATATGTGTTCATATTGCACATTATGCAAAGTTAATTTCATTTTTTCTCCCTGAAAAACAAATCTAATTTTCTTCTAAAACATGCCTGCATGATGTGTTTGTAAACAACTTTGTAGCATCATTTAAAAGATGATGTAGAATTGCTCCAAAGGGAGGGAAAATAATTTTAAAATATGAATACTGCATACTCAAAATAATTTAATGAGAAATATATCATAATGCCCTCTAATTATCTTGTACCCAAAATCAGTGTGGTTGATGTTTCACTTGGAGTTCTTAAAAAGAAAGGCATGATTTACTTCTAAATTGCAATCTAAGATCTATAAACACATTCCCCCTAAAGTCAGTGACATATTTTTATTTGAAACTGTTTTCACTTTTGGATATAGTGATACATAGCCATGTATTGAAGATATTCTATGTTGCAGATGCCTTGAATGTAAAAGAAAATATCGGTATGTCCTTTAGACACTGAATGTAAAAGAAAAAATCAGTATGTCCTTTAGACACTTCAACAGTTTCTGTTGACTTACAGAATAGTCTGAAAAATATGGTAAGGCTTGATATTACTTGGTATTACATGCATTAATTTTAGCTGATCTAAATAACAATGAAATACAAAAAATAAGCAGACTGTATTTGTCTCCCCCAGTTACAGAGATCTTACGATATAAGCAGTATTAAACAAGTTATTTCTGTAAAATTCAATGTGATTATTTTGTGGAATACAATTTCATGTATCTTGATAAAACAATTATATTGATTAGCAACTGCACAATTCTCAGTAAATAGTGTGATATTAATATGGCAATAAAAATTACAGAGAGAGCTGGTTAAACACCTTCTGCAATTAATATATAGATTTCATTTGCTAAGAAGCCTTTTCTAGATCCATGAAAACAGAAGATAGTCGGAGACTAAGAGAGTTTGATAAAAACTTGGAGTGGGTTTTACTATGTGAATGTTCAAAATATAAATCCAATGAAATAAAGTATTCTGAAAACTTTTATTATTTAACAAGTCCCTGATGATCCATTGACCAAAAAAGAAAAAGATATTGATTTTTTTAATGTATCAAAATACAATTGTGTTAAAGAAATTCAATATTCTTTGTGGCTCCTTCCAGACAGCTGAGTAATGGCCAAAGCATCAGCAGCTGGCAAATGATTCTGTAGATCTCTTTTTCTCCTTTGTTAAAGGAACTTTACTTTGAAGGAGTCAATCCACATAAAGTCAAAATGTCAAAATAACATAGTACTGAACAGGTCATTTGACAAACTGTGTTGTTGGCCTTAAATAATTTGTCTGGCTATTAATTTTTCAAACAGTCTGAAAAGATTTGTTGTTGCAGGCTGATTTCTGTCTAGACAAAGAAAGGAGTGTAAAACACATTAAGCTGATAGAACTTAAATGATTTTAAAAAATCTGTTTCATAGATTTTCAATTTCCTGAATCTCCAAATTTTCTTCCCTTCCCCTTTCTTCTGCTTTTAATTCCCTAGTGCCTAACCACTAGCATATAGTCAACTGAGATTTTGGGGAGGTAAGTTACAAATGTCATGTATCAGAGATGTATAAATAGCAATTATCCTGTTTCCTATTTATTACTGTAGGTTTTTAAAACATACCATCAGTACAAAAAATAAACCCTTGGGGCAGAATGGGGCAACTCACCACTGCCAACTCAACACCACCATCTTGCTGTGGGACAATTCACCATGGAACAACTCACCATAGGACAGGTCAGAAATGCAATTTAATTTTTTAAAAGAATTTATAAATTATTTTAATTTTTGACATTCACATTTCATTTTATCCCTCCTTTTGCATCCTTTCTTTAATGATTTTATTCCACCATTTCTTTGATACTAGTGTAACTCTTGACCTGTAGCGAGTTGTCCCATGGTGAGTTGGCTGTGACAAGTTTATTGCAGCAAGTTGGCCATGGGAAATTGGTTGTGGCAAGTTGGCAGTGGCATGCTGGCTACAGTGAGTTGTTCTAGACCCACCTTGGGGACTGGAATAAACATTCAACTAAACCCCATGAACTGTAATATTGCTGTAATATGTATTTTAGTTTTCTCTAATTCTTATAAAGTTATTATTGGAAAGAGTGAGCTCCGGAGCTGCACCAGTTTAACCCTCATCCCTCCAAAGAAACTAATATTTATAAGATCATAAGAAGAAAAGACTGCCTCCAAAAGAGTTGCTTATTACTAGCTCTTCACAAAATATTTTAACTACGATACAAGAAATCAATACTTTTAAAAATGTGATGCTTACCAGGTTCTGCTGTAGAACGTGGTTCTATTTATGACATCATCCAAACCACAGGTTAAGGAAGAGAAGCAGGAAGAATAAAGTGCATTAGAAATGTTATTATGCAAAAGATAATAAGCCTTCAAATTTTAAGAACTTTAAATTCAGAATACAGTTAAAAACAATAATAATTTCACATTTGTATATTTTTACTGCATGTCTACTTTAATGGGAAAATAATTGGCACTTGCTTTTCTTTTCTTTTTTTTAAACAAAGTTTTTATTTTTTACAACAAACATATGAATAAAACATAAAACCCTCTTTCAATTATATACATACAGTGTGTCAGTTGGTTACAATCTTTTGTGCTATCTTTTTTTTACCATTACTCACAAGTTATATAAATCCTCACCTTATCAATCTAGCTTGTGCTTATACAATATCAATTATTAAACATTCATTTGACTATTCTGCCATCATTTTATACAAGATATTCTAATTTTCATTATGATTTAATCTTATACATTCATCCAATGTTTATATATTTTATATTGTATTCTATATCAATCTATTAACTTTTATTGTAAGGCTTACTAATCTCTTTACCATGTCTTTTTATCTAACCATTGATAAAATAAATCCCATATCATATAAAATTGTTTATCCTCTTGTTCTCTAATTTCAAATGTCAATTTACTCATTTCGGCAGGCACTTACTTTTCTGAAGAATTCGGAAGTCTGGAGAATCATGAATTTCAACCCCTTGACGAAACCAGAGAACGTGCAAGGAAGGTGCTCCTCTTACTCTACACTCAAATACAACTACTTCTCCTTCATTTGCTGTTGAATTTTGAAGTTCCTGAAAGTTTGATATACAAATAAGCTAATGAAAATACAGAATGTCTATCAGAAAAATACAGAGTGTCAATCAGAAAAAGTAACATTAACATTGGCAAATCATAACACCAACATTGGCAATTAACAGCAGCTGTTGAAATATTTTACTTGTTTATTATTTATTATGTTATTATTTTTTCCAATTCTTTATTTGGATAGTGCAGCTTTTATTTTCAACTAAACTAGCGCAGGGGTCTCCAACCCCTGGTCCATGGAGCAGCACCAATCCACGGCATGCCAGAAACCGTATCATGCAAAAAAGCGAAGCTCCATCTGCAGGATACAGGCAGTACACCAAACTACACCCCTTCCGGTCCATGGAAAAACCTCTCTCCACAGAACCAATCCCTGGTACCCAAAAGGCTGAGGGTTGCTGAACTAGTGTCTTAAGTCTAGGTCAGGGGTGTCAAACTCAAGGCCGTGGGCTGGATCCAGTCCATGGAGTGCTTAATTCTGGGGCAGCCATGGAAACGATGAAGGACTGGCCTGCGGTATCTCTGCCAGCAAAAATGGAGCTTGGATGACCTCCTCCAGCCCTTTGCCAGCAAAAATGGACCTGCACGTGGCCCCCCGGGCTCCGTTTTTACTTGCAGAGGTCTTCAGGAGGCCATCCGGGCCAAAAGCAAGGCTGGCAGAGGGCTTCAGGAGTCTGTCTAGGCCACCACCCCCTTCATTTTCGCTGGCAAAAAGGGCTAGCAAAACAAACTAAAAGCAAAGCAAAACAAAAGGAGAAATATTTCCCCTTTTGCATTTGAATATCTAAGAAAGGACAGGAAAGGAGAAAGGGAAAGAGGAAAGACAAAGAAAAAGAAAGATTGGAAGAGAGCAAGGAAGGAAAATGAAGGAAAAAGGGGAGGAAAGAAGAAAGGAGAATGAAGAGGGAAGGAAAAAGAAGGAAAAAAAGGAAGGAAGGAAGGAAGGAAAGAAAGTCCTGCCTTAGCACTTGGCCACCAGCAGACAGCAAGGCCCCCCTCTGGAGGACAAGAGTTTGACGTTCTTCCTAGTTTCGCCTTCCTCCGCTGGAGACAATGGATCCATCCGGGTCACCACAGGTGCCCCCTACCAAGTGATGTTGAGCTGGCCACACACACTCCACACACTCCCATGAGGTCAAACACAACCCTGATGTGGCCCTCAATGAAATCGAGTTTGACACTCCTGGTCTAGGTCAACATATCTCTCTTCTCTTTCGTCTTGTCTTGATCAGATTTCCCAGCAAGTTGAAGTTCATATATCTTGTTATATATATCATATAAGTTACTAAGGAACCTCGCTCTTGGGTTCTGAAAAAAGAAATACTTTTCTAAACAAAGAGTCCCAGTATTGGGATAAACCTTGTGATGATCAAGTTATGTTGTGATCAGATGCTTACTGTTCTGTCTTTAGACTGCTAGCTGAATATAAAGACAGACAGACAGTCAACTCTATAAAGGCTTCCATACAAAGTTTCTTTATTGGATCACAAGGCATTCTCAAGGTGTAACTCACGGTTATGTTGAGATTCATCTAATGTCCAACTCTTTGCACAGCTGACTTCATAGTGTAAAAGAATAGTGATCTTTCATCCCATAATGATGGGGCAAAGGGTGAGACACCGGCATGATGCTGGGGTCCGAGCAAGAGTAAAGGAAACTCCCCCAACCAAGCAAGGGTCAATTCAGTGACCAATCAGGATTACAGATGAGACCACATGACATGAACTACATTTCCCATGATGCATTAACTATATTTACCATGAGGCATTCCCTTAAGGGGACAGCTCCCAATTCTAACCTAACTATCTCAATTCCCAATTACCTATATACTGTCTGAACAGCACACTTACAGCTGTGGAAATTTCATTTATTAACCTATCTGCCTGCCTGCCCGCCCATGTCTGCCTGCCTGCCTATGTCTGTCTGTCTGTCTGTCTGTCTGTCTGTCTATGTATCTATCTATCATTCAGCATCTATGAAACACAGATATTTCCTAAGTTAATATCAAGGAAATGAAATTTCAATGTGCAGAAGCTTTATAACAATGTATATTTCTAGACAATGCTTTTTGCTGTGGAATTGATGTAGTTCCTTTATGAAACTTTATAGGAGATCCAAAACAACTGTTATCTACTGTGTGGAACTAGAGGACTTTTGAGGGAGATCAGGTCAGGAAACAGAGTTACACTATATAGTCTACTATAAAATTATAATATGCAATAGCAGAATCTTAAAAGTCTCATAAAAATTCTTTCCCTTCCCATCTGCTCTTATACTGAGAGAATTAAGGGAAAGCAATGTTGAAGTTTTCCCGCACTCTCTCCAGGCTAAAGCTGATGAATGGTAGTTCAATTCCATCTTCAAGGCCATCTCTATACTCTACACCAACCCACATGTCTTTTATAACATGTTTTCCACCTTTGACTTTATCAAGAAAAAAAAATTATGAAAAAAAATTATCTGTACAGCACCTTTTCCACACTAGTAGCAATTATTTTATGTATAAGTACTTATGCATTATCCAAATATTTTCAAAAAACATACAAAAATTGTAATTTGGAAAATAAAAAGTGAACGGAAAAAGTTGCAAAAATTTCAGATGTTCTGGCTTTCTGTTTTATTTTTTATTTATTTCTGACATTTTTGAATCACCCATCTCCCTCAGAGAGGAACTATACAATAAAATGTTAATAAAGCGGCATGTAAGAACTAAAAATTTAGAAGGAGGCAAGGAAGATTAAATACTGTTAAAATTAGTTAAAAAGATGAAGAGAGGGCTCTTAGGGTGGTGAGAAGTAATTATGGAGTGACTTGAATCCTAAAATCTTCACATTTATACCCCAATCTCTTAAGGTCCAGAAACCATTCTGCAGCCTAACTTAGGGATTTTTTTTCAGGATTTGTGGAATATTTAAGGGTTCGGTTTAGGGCATTTTGTCTTCCACTTTTGTTCCAGCTCTTAATTTTGTGGAAAACAAAAAACAAAAAAAAATGTACCATGTATCAAAACTGCACCTAAAAGTGTACCAAATTTTATCGTATTCAGTTTCCAAAGCTTGAGATGTTAGAAAGTTGCACGCAGTCCAAGACTAGCCCATTCCATCTTATAATGTGCAAGTAGTGGAAGCTAAGATTTCAGAAAAAAGTATTTCTGAAAAAAAAATCCATTTTTTTTCCAATAGTATAAATCACCCATCTAAACCAGTTGCTTTCCAGAAATGCCATCTCTCAATCCCCATAATTCCTAAGAATGCTTAGTGCCCCATTGGGAAAATTGGCAGACAAAAAAAACCCCAATTCTATTTGTTTACCACTCTTCTAGGCTTTAAATTATCCATAGTCACATGGTTTGGGGACAGAATATTGGTTGAGAAAACAGACCTTTGTAAAAATAGGTGCAGCATGGGTTGGCTTTGATCCATCTAATTTGCAGAGATGTAAAGTAGGACTTTGAACCTGTAAAATATCATATGCAGATATTTTAAAGCATATCTGCACCATTAATAATATAAAGTGCAATTTAAACAATAATATAAAGTATATTTCAATTCTCATTTTCTCTCATTTTCTATTGGTGAATATAGCATAAACATATTAAAATTAGTATTTCAGACTGAACTCATAAAGATATATTTATGTGACTAAGCAATGACACTGAATTATCAATGGTGATACACCATTTTCAAAAGTGTCCCTAGCTTTTTACACTTTGATAATTTATATGAACCCTAATTAATACGAATGTCACTAAGAATATAATTCCATGAAATCTGTCATTTCTAATTTATATGCTCTAAGACCAGAGGTAGTATTCAGCTGGTTCGTACTGGTTCTGGTGTACCCGTAACGGAAAATTTGGGTAGTTCGGAGAACCGGCAAATACTACCTCTGGCTGGCCCTGCCCCCACCCACCTGCTTGCTGAATCACCCCACCCACCAGGATTGCCTGTCAGGTGGGGAGGCTGCATGACTGGGAGCCGTACTGATCAGCTGGGAGGTAGCAATGGACCAGCTGGGAAGCCAATCAGTCAGTTCAGTCAGACCATCCACGAGATCGTTTTTCCCCGGAGAAGTTGGAAGGTCTAACTGAACTATTTTTAACTCATGGTCACATGGTCTTCTTTTGTTGCCCTGCATGCAGGAGAACAGAGATGGAAAGCAGGTTAGTGAGGGAATTGTGGGTATTCTGGAATGGGGTGGAAGTGAGGGTTTTGCATTATAATGCAAAATCCTCACTTCCATCCCATCCCAGAGCAAAGATAATGCAAAATCCACACTTCCACTCCATTCCAGAGCAACCATCATTCCCTCACTAACCTGCTTTGCAGTTCCGTTCTCCTGTGTACAGGGCAACAAAAGAAGACCATGTGACTTACCAATTTAAAAAAAGGTTCAGTCAGACCTTCCAATTTTGTGAGATCTCCCTTCCCACAAGAAGTTTGGGGGGTCTGACTGAACCTTTTTTTAAATTGGTAAGTCACATGGTCTTCTTTTGTTGCCCTACACACAGGAGAACAGATCTGGAAAGCAGGTTAGTGAGGGAATGATGGTTGCTCTGGAATGGGGTGGAAGTGAGGATTTTGCATTATGATTGCTTACAAGTAAGAACCAGTAAAAGAGGAATGGAAAAATCCCACTCTGTAGATCAGCATTTTTCAGTCTTGGCAAGTTTAAGAGGGGCGAACTACATTGCTGCCTTGGGAATTCTGGGAATTGAAGTTCAATAAAACTACTTTTTGGTATATCTTCTTTTTGTTGGCCTTGCCTACCCAGTCACACACCCACTAAGCCATGCCCACCAAGCCACGCCCACAGAACCAGTAGTAAAAATTGAATTCCACCACTGTGTAAGACCATTAACAATAATATTGACTTGCAACTTTTACAACATTAAACACCATAGTTTGGGAAAGTCTGAACAAATATTGAAATATGATCCCTGAAAAAAGAAAAATAAGAAATATGTCACACTCAAGGTCTCAGAACAGCTTCTGGTATTACTTTAAACAGCTACATTATATGCTTCTTTAAAGTTCCGGCTACATTAGTATTGATATTCAGTTAGTATGAACAGGTGCTATGTTGCAGTTTTCTCAACTATGATCTGGAATTGTGAAGGATGAGCCACAGTAGTTTTCTGGCTGCTCAAATGTTATATGAGTCTCTGTATGGTGAGGAGAACTGAATGCAGTGGCTTAATTTTCTTAAAAAAAGGCTTTCAAAAAGAAATATATATTGAATTGTGAAGAAAGCAATGAACATAAAAAAGAACATGGAAAAATATGTAATTGAGGAAGATACTCCATATTAAGAAAATGAAGACAATTTCCAAAAGTGATTATTTTAAATTTATGGTCCTCAATCTTTGGGGAACTCTGTATGTTCATCATATAAATGATCAAGCTTTTCAGGAAATGTCAGGAAATGAGAAGCACTGATTCATGGATATACTTACATAAAACCATACCTAATTCTATCTTCCTAATGAATGTATCTATAATAAATTTACCACAAAAGGCTCAATTTTTAGTTTTGTAGAATCAATCAATGAATACAAATACCCAAATGCAAGTACAGATAGTCCTCAACTTACAACTACAATTAAGCCCAAAATTTTTCAGTTTTGCCCCCTTCTATGTCCTTTTTTTGCCACAGCAGTTGTTAAATTATTAATATGGTTGTTAAGTAAATCTCTCTTCCCTGGGAGCGCCATCACTTGAGACTTTCAAGAAGTGATTGGACTGCCATCTGTCAGAAATGGTGTAGGGTCTCCCGCTTGGGCGGAGGGGGTTGTTGGACTAGGTGACCTACAAGGTCCCTTCCAACTCTGATTATCTGTTATCTGTTGACTTTGCGGGTCAGGTCATAAAAAGTTATCGCATGACCCTAGGACACGCAAGCATCATAAATATGAATCCGTTGCCAAACATCTGAATTTTGGACATGTGACGATGGGGACGCTACAATAGTTGTTAACTGTGAAAAATGGTCATGTCACTTTTTCAGTGTTGTACTTTGAACAGTCATTGAATGAAGTGCTGTAAGTTGAGAACTACCTGTAGTCTGCCATGTTCCCTTAAAAATTATTTCTACATTAATGGTCTCATACCTGAACCTTGTACAGGAAGGTGAGTAACAACACTTCATAAAATAAGTGCATCGAGAATAGAAGAATCCAAGGCAGAAAAGAAGGAAAGCTCCTATAGTTGCAGGATATATCTACATGTTATTATTAATTTAATAATAATTTAATTAATTCCCCAGTTCTGTAGAAGATCTGCATGAAGCAATTGCCTGGATAGGTGGACATCCAGTTATGAGGCCACTGCACACCCCCATAGAGGTTATATTGATAATCACATGGACTCTGTCTATATGTTTACTTCTCTTCTGTCATATTCTCATCATATGCTAAATAACAATACATAAATAATAAATGTAATAAATATTCTAGGTTTTAAAGTAGCACATAAATATATACCTGCTGATTAGGCACAGAGATAGGCTGGATTACTGCTGTAGTAATTCCAGACTTTGGGGATGACAATCCAATTGTCAAGGAAACAGAAGTGCTTTTCTTTTGAGCTCTGAATAAACGGACAAATCAAAATGCAGAGAGAAAGTCATTTAGTGTGCTCAAACAATGCTTCCCATTTCATGAAATAGAACACCGTAGACTCTATTCTCATGACTAATTCAATCGCTAAGTTCCACACTCATTTTCCACCCTGTTAAGTGGTAGGGAATAGGAATAAAGGTTAGGATGGGAGAGAATGGTCCAACAGCAGAGCATTGGAAAGAAACGGTTTGGTCTCTGCTACTCATCGGTGCTACCAGCACTGCTTTGAACCCTTATTCTTCAATCAGCTAACATTTTAATGTTAGAAATTGCTCCAAGCTGTAATTATACACATCTTAAAGTAAAGCAAGTGCGTTTTTTTTTCCTTTCAAAGCTGATTTCTCAATTTTTTTACCTTTTTCATTAATTTTTTCTAAAAAAAGAAAAAACAGGCATTCCACATTTGAAGTGATGGTTATATTTTTGTTCTAACAGTCATACAAAGATTGTGGGTGTAGAACTTTTCCTTAGTAAATTTGCTGTCAAAAGTTTAAATTAAATAAGGCATTCTCATCATTGCAGTACCCCATTTCTATGCCATCCAATTCAGACGTAGTATTCGCATTGCTCTAGTAGATAAAAGTAATAACTTTTGTATGCCAGGCTGCTTAAATCAGCTGATTACTTAGTATAAAACATTCTGATTAGGGACCTGTAACCAATTAGCTACATTTTCCACTGTCTATTTCTTCAATAAGTAGAAAACCGCAGCTTAATATGTTTCCAGTGCAGCAATGAAACTCTAACCTAATATTTCCCCATCAAATTCTTTGTATTTTAGGAAATATTTCTTACATATAAACCCCAGCTATACATCACAACAAAGATAATTTTACTGATATGCTTGGAATCCATCTTGGGAATATTAAAAAAATAGCCTTCATAGTCATCCTATGGTCAAGGTTCAATCCAATACATCAACAGCACTTGATTATTGATTAACAGTAGTTAATTCTTTCCCTGCGTAAAGTGATTACAGGAGGAAGATATGAAGCAGAACAGCTTAGCAATTATCCTTTCAGATGGCCATAGAAACATTAAACACAACATAGTTGGTTTTGTTCTGTAAACTCACTGGGGCATGGCTCCAGATTTTGTTTTGAAATGTTCACTATCAGAATCTGAGGAACTGCCACCTGCAGAAAAGTAAGAAACAGAATCATTAGTGATAACATCAGGTGTAACACAGCTGCATGTTTATAAACAGAATATTTAAGACAATCTTCATGATTTCAGTATTGCTAAATTTTCCATGGCACTTTGGTGCTCACCAGTCTTGTCCCATCCAATTACTGTAATTTATTAAATTTAAAGTTTTTAATATTAAGACACATGAAAAGAAATCAGCGGTCTACAAAGCTAGAATTTATGTCTGGTTCTCATAAAACTCTTGAATTCCATACAAAATCCATCTACTTTCTTGGAAAGCAAAAATAATAAGTGTCCTTATCTTAGTTCAGAAATGTCAAACTCAAAGCCCGCAGGCCAGACCAAAAATGTGGTTAGATCTCACTTGCAGGACCGCCCTGGAGACAGTGAAGGACCTGCCCAGGGACAGTGCCCACCCCAACCTTGCCAGGCACTCAAGTGCTCTGAACTTGTTCGATCTGTGGGGCAAGATGGTCAGTGGAGAAGCACTCTCCACCTCCTATGCACAGGTGGGATTTAACAGGTTCTCATCGTTTTCCCCCGAACCATTAGTGAATTGCTCATACAGTTCGGAGAACTGGTTAAAAATAAAGTGCAAGAGTGGTTTTTCTCTCTCTCTCTCTCTGTCCCTCCCTTCAGTTAATAGCCAAGAACCACTTAACAGTCGCAGCTGGAATGCAGCCAATGCATGCTGAATCAAGCCAATAAGCAACAGAAACTGACAGGATTAGAGCAGGGAAACCCATCAATCACTCATCTTGGGATGGGATTAACCTCTTCTCTTCAGGAAGAAGGACAAGATAACAAACATTTTCATTATAAAGAGTATTAAGTAACACTTCTGTGATCAGCTGATACTCCCTGAGTTCCCCAAGACCTTTTATAGATGCTGCAGTATTGGCTACTTCTTGTGTCTTCCTGGGGGGGAAAGATACAGGATAGGGCAGTGGTGCAGCTTGATCATACAGGCCATGAATATAATGCATGTGTGGTCCAGCCAGCTTTGTTGCTTCTGCTGTGAAGCACCCAATTTAGAACATAGAGAACATAGAATAATAGAGTTGGAAGGGTTGATGGCTTTTGGCAGCACACCCAGGCTTTCAATTAACATGAGCAGCTGCTCTTAGTTTCCCTCTCAGCTGCTGCATTTGCTTTGGGGTTGACTTTTTTTTTAAGGGGGAATGGCTGTTTTAAGTTTTCTGCATTGTTTTAGTGGTTCCTTTCGGGGTATATTTCCCTCACTCTTTTTGAAAGCCTCTAGTGATGGAGCACCACAGCTTCTGAAGACAAGCTATTCCATTGGTTGATTGGTCTCACCCTTAGGAAATTTCTCCTTAGTCCTAGGTTGTTTCTCTCTTTGGTTAGTTTTCATCCATTGTTTCTTGTTGTGCTTTTTGGTGCTTTGGAAAATAGATTGACTCCCTCATTGTTGTAGGAGCCCCTCATATTTCCTGACAGACCAATTAATCAGTGAAACAACTTTCCTCCAAAAGGTGTAAATGCTCCAACACTGGAAGTTTTTAAGAAGAGATTGGATAACCGTTTGTCTGAATTGGTGCAGGGTTTCCTGCCTAAGCAGGGGGTTGGACTAGAAGACCTCCAAGATCCTTTCCAGCTCTGATATTCTATTCTGTTCTAAATATTGGAATAGTGCTATTTTATTCTGCTAATTTATTGTGAGTTGGACTAAGGAGAAATTTCCTAAGGGTGAGACCAATCAAGTTGGCCACGCCCACCCAGTCACATGACTACCCAGCCACTCCCACCCAGTCATTAGGGCAGAGAACCAGTTGTTAAATTATTTGAATCCCACCACTGCTTCTATGTATATGCCCAGGAGAAATGCCCTGTCCAGGCCAGGGGTAAGGCAGTGGGGGTCAGCTTCTCACTGTCTCCAGGGTAGCTCCATGGCCCAAATCTAAGGCTGACCATGTTCTGGGTGGCAACCATGAAGTTGCAGATCAGCATATAGTGGAGCCCTAGCAGCAGTGCCATACCTTACACCAGTGCTTCCGCTGTCTCCATGGCCTATTCACCTGCTCAGCCTCCATGTCCTGTTTACCCCCTCAACCCATTAGCGCTTCCCTTTCACTGGGATGGCCCCCACTCCGCCTCCCACCCCCGTGTGGTAAAGCCACGGCCACCAGCAGTGCTGCCACTTTCTCCCCCTCCCCTTGTCCCTTCCTGAGCACGGAGGGAGGGAGGAAGAAGATGGGAATGAGAAGGAGGGAGGGAGAGATGAAGGGAGGGAGAGAGGAAGGAAGGAGATTGGAATGAGAGGGTGGGAAGGTCTAAGCGAAGTCCTGCCTTAGCACTTGGCCGCCAGCAACCCAGCTGCCCTTCTGCCATCTCCTTGCCCACTTCTGGTGGTCTCCCATCTGATTGTTGAGAATGATTTGCTTGTAAAGCCAGGTCTCCTTGTATGGATAGGGAGTGGGCCTCCCTCTGACCCATGCACTTTGCCCTCCCACACTCACCATGAGCAACCTGGCCAAGAAGAGCGAGCACAGCAGCAGTAACCTCAAGGAGGAGCTAAGCATGGCCAGGTCCCCCAGAAGCCGGGCTGGGCTGTGGGGTCCCAGTGCCCCAAGAGCTTGAGGACCAGGTGGGTCCTTACCCTTTACTACCCAGGGCTCCAGGCAGCCTATGCTGCCATCCGGGGGACCTCCACATGGCCTGAGAGGGATGGCAAGGCTCCTCTGGTGGACAAAGCTTTGGAGCTCACCCTGGTCTCACCTTACCTAGGCTGGAGACCTCTGGATCCCCACTCCCGGCCTTGCCTGGCCCTCCACAGGAGGCAGAGGATGACATTGCTGCATGTGGAAGTGTAGAAGAAAACGTTTTCAGGCAGCAGTTTCCTCCAAGTCCAACTTCTGCCTTGACAGATCTCTGGAGAGGAGGAGATGGTGGTGGTGGTGGGAGCTGCATGAGGGAAGGCTGCCCCAATAAGCCAGCATCCTTACCATACATAATTGGAAATGGGGATTCCTTTTGAGAAGGGGCAGCCTCTCTCGTGCAGGACTGGGGAGCACTGCTCCCCTGCCTCCTCCTCTTGCTCTCCAGAGATCTGTCAAGGCAGAAGTTAGACTCAGAAGAAACTGCTTCTTCAGACTTTCTCCTCAACAGCATCATCCTCTGCCTCCTGCTTTGCTGGGTGGGGGCACCAGATAGGGAAACACCAACAATGTTTAGGATTGGAAGAAGAAAGTCTCCTTTGGTGTGCTGTACTTGGGCGTGCACAACACACACACACACACACACACACACACACACACACACACACACCATTCCAAGCTTAGAGTCTTTATCTACACCTGAACTTGCAAACTGCTAATCATGCCTGGGCTTGGGGAACAGTTCTCTCCTCCTTCTGTGGATAAAGCTTCCCAAACTTAGAATTCAGAGTGTGGGCGTGGGTGTGTGCACAGATACTTTGCTGCCAGCAGTTTGAGGAGGCAAGGAGCTTGTGGGGCACTGAATTGTCCCCATATCGAGTTAGCCAGTACGACTTGTTCCATCCTGACCCAGCTGTCCTGAGTGAACCATGCCCAGTGGGTGATGTCGAGTTGGCCATGCCCACCCAGCCACGTCCACCTAGTTGCAGTGACCCTGTTGTGCCCACCCAGCCATGCCGATCTGGCCGCTGTGAATCATCCTAGTCTTACATTGTCCTTTGAAGGCAGTCATAATGCTGATGCAGCCCTCAATGAAATTGAGTTTGACACCTCATCTTAGTGCTTTGTATGTATGCCCAGAGATGGGAAGGTGACAAATTTGTAACTGACAGGGATATGGGTGGTGGTGAGCGAAACCATTTTGCCAGAAAATGTTGCTTTGAGTCAGACCATGTTATGAATTGGAAAGCCTTCATGAGAACTATACTGCTTATAATACACTTTGAAAATATCAAAATATCAAAATATCAAATACAACTCGCTGCCACTATAGACATGACCACACCATCACTGTCGCCCCAGCAGTTCTTGGACTTCAAAAATAAACAGGGTACCCTCCTATGGAAAAAAGGTTTTCTGCCTTGTTTTACAACATCTCAGTTTTTGTTTAAAAACAGTTTTTAAAGTCTAATTTGTATAATTAAGAATAGAAGAACTGCTATATATAGCAGAATTATAACAATTAACATTAGGCTTTTTAATCATTGTAGACATTGACAATTTAGACATGCAGATTGAGATTGCAGAGTGCAGACCCATAAACTTGTAAAAGCTAGAGCTGTTGTTATAAATATGGTAGTAGAAACAGAATCCAATGCATGATCTTTTTATTGCCATATCTTCTTACCTTCCACAAATAATTCTGCTGAAGAAGAACTAGAGCCAAGGGAATTGGAGGCCAGGCAACAGTAGCGCCCTGTGTCGTCTTCAAAAGCTTCTGCTATAATGAGTGTCTGGAGTCCTCCGCTTTCAGAACAAATCTGAATATCAGGAGAATTTTGTAGTTCTTTACCTTCACAGAACCACCTTTGATCAACATTCAATTGCACAGTGAAAGACAAAAAAAAAAGAGTCATTACCAATATTGATAATAAAAACACTATAAAACAGCAACAGACCTTTACACGAGAATCTACTGTTCAATCATTAGATACTGGCATTTGAATTGTTACAAAGTTAGGATCATTTTGCAGACTTCTCTGGAAACATGTTTATATGCATTTAGAGCATTACTTGCTAGTTGGCAGGCATAATAATTAGCGTGTTGTTATGAATTGTTCATTAGCTTTGCTTTGATAAGCTAACATGAAGGAAATAGGCATGTAGGGATCCTCCAGATGGTTTCCAGCATAGTTTCCACAAATATTTGCCACTGGTCTTGCTGGCTGGGAATGAATGGACATTTAAAACATCTTTAAGACACGTTTCTTGCTGCTCCAGTAGCCTACATGCATTCAACGAAACAACTCAAGACAGCTATATTGCTATGTATTAAGGGACCCTGCAAAACAAAGCTCTAAGTAAAGAAATAGATTCCTAAATGCATGCATTGAAATTGAAAGTAACTCATAGAATTTACCTTCCTGTTCCCAAATGTCCCATATTCCTTGACATTTGGGAGACAAAAAATAACTAAACTTTCCATGGCTAGATACTTTTTAAAAATGTTGGCTTATATCATTTTCAGCATTTTCATGTTTTTGCTTGGCACCTTACAACACACTGAATTTATTACTGTAAAAGGTTTAAGGAAAGTTGCAGGAATAGTATCAAAATCAAAACAATATTTATACAGCCATTCAAATGTGTGTGGTCATAACTTCTCCCTTGGGATGTGATGATTCTGGGCGGTATTAATGGTAACCAAGCATACCTAGAAAGCAGCAGAGTTTGGCGTATATTAATGAGTCCAATAAAAGAAACAGCACCGCCATAAAAGAAAAGCAGTAAAGTGTCTTTCACAAGAATAAAAAACAGTATTTTTAAATGAGGAGTTGTGGCAGAGGAATCCACGTTTTTTAGAGAATTTCATAGTGGAATACAGATATCTTCCTTCACCCTAAATTTGTTATATTGAAAAAAAATAAAGGAATGTTTCAAATTCCATGAGTTTGATGGCTCCCATTCAATAGCCATTTTTTTTATTTCAAAGAGCAAGAATGACTTTCACACAGTATATTTAGCTATAAAGATGCCCAAATCATAAAGCAGGTTTAGAACATGAGATTGAAAAATGTAGATTTGGAAAGGATATTTTAAAATTCTCTCACAGACATATGCACACATATGGCTTTGAAGCATTAACTACGAATGCTAATCCATTATTTCTTTTATATGAGATGAAAAAAATGAAGAGGTTACAAAGATTAAAGCTATTACTAAACACATATATACAAATTTTCTTAACATTTGTTACCATTCTCTTGTTTGGTATGCCTGCATTTTTCTTATTTATATAATGTATATAATGTATATATTTATACAATCATCTTGCATATTACACTACTACTTTGTGTGTGTGTGTGTGTGCATATAAAAGAAAAAAAACTATATATTTTCTTTATATTAATCAAATCTAACCACCACATACATATTTATGTCATACAATATTACACAAATTATTTATACTTAAATAATGAAGATAAAATCAGAAAATATACATTTAAGCTATATTCTAACCAAAAAAGATTAAAAAGGTATAAAATTAAATCTGCAAAATTTTCTCCCACTTGACAGATGAAACTTAAGGAGTGAAAAATAAGGACAAAATTTTGAAAAATATATGTCTGAAATAATACCATACTTTTTGAAATGTACATTTCAGGAATTTTTCATAAAGCATAAGGTATCTGGCAATAATTGACATTATCTAAATACTTAAGATTAATATATCCAAACTATTGCTATTTCTAATAGCATTTCATTTAAATCTAGTTTAATCCACTGCAAATATTTATCTGATTTTAAACTCAAAATAATGTATTAGTTATAATCACCATGAAAACTATCCTGATAAAATGGATTTTCACAATTCAGCCACATACACACACACCCAAAAAAAACTTCTGGGGAAGAAATAGCAAACTGAAGATGGCCCCACTAACAGCAGAAGGAAGAGCCTGTTAAACAGACCAGCTCTTCATAATCCTTTTCAGAGGATGACTTCAAATTGTCCACTATATAGTTGCTCCTCACAAGGAGACCACAGCCTCCAATGGGTTAGGAACCTGTCTTTGGATCAACAGGTTGTTCAGTACCAGGTGAGTTTCCTTCAATCCTTAAGTGAAAGAAGTTTAAATACAAGTTTAAAGACTTAATGGAGGGAAATAAAAGGCAATATGGTATTTTGACCTTTAATTTTGAAAAATGACAGACTAAAAGTCCAGATGGATTTGAAATAAGGTTTTTGGAATTAATTATAACAATCCTCCCTGTGGGAAAATAATTTTCTTTTGAATGCTCTTTAAACAAAATAGAATGAGATCTTGAGGGTTGAAAACTAGTAGTAACTAGAAAGAACTAAATATTACAATTGTCAACTCGTAAAGCATTCCTGGTCTGCTTTTGAGTTGCCATAAGAAGGAGGGGCGTGAAGAGATCTGATGGAGCAGTTCGGTTGCTATGACCAGAAGCACATTCCACGTATACCTTTCTCCAGATTGTGTCCCAAGTGACCAGAGCCAGCCGGAGAGGCGTGTTTTTTATAGCCCGCAAAAGTGCTTCATTGGACTTATGACACACCCTGGGAGGAGGGGGGAAATAGGGCCATAGGTAGGCAGTAAATTACATAGGGCAAAGACAACTGCACTTGGGAAAAGTGATGACATGTTGCACTTAATAAATAATTGGATTTCTTTTGAAACTTGGCCCAAGTTTCATTGATTAATTAGGGCATCTGTCGGAACCCTGACAACAATGAAAGGAGAAGAAAACTTAAATTTGACCTACTGAAACAGAACAGAAAAAATATTTTAACTGAAAACATTGAAGGATATTTTTGAACAATGGATGAAAAAGTTAAGTGTTAAGAATATTTGCTTCATAGATAGACTGCATTGAAAAGATGTTATGGAAGAGGAACACATTTTACAGGACAAGATCTGAAAATGGATTTAAAACAGATAGGCCACAAAAATAATATGGGAAAAGAAGCTACACTGGATGCACATATGAAATTGGCTAATGTGTTAATAATTAAAATTAAAAACAAATAGCAAAACCAAGAGAATGACCTGGATAATTTTCCTGTGTTAGATTTAGAAAATAAGCTTGTTAAAGCTTTGAAGAATTTTGTAAAAATAGAAAAAGGAAAAAAATGAAAATGATCCAATCTGGGTCGGTCAGTGGGATTAGAGGTTTAGTCTTCCAAGCTTTCAGGACTGGTGTTGGAGCCCAACATCCTCAGGAAACTTTTCTCGACCAGAATGTGCTTCTACCACAGAATGTGTCTCTACCACATTCTGGTCGAGAGAAGCTCCCCGAGGATGATGGGCTCCAACACCGGTCCTGAAAGCTTGGAAGACTAAACCTCTAATCCCAATGATGGACCCAGATTGGATCCTGAAATATTACCCTGAGACACATAACAGTATATTTGCACGGGTGGATTTTGTGTGTAATAGTTTTTCCTCTTGTTTGCAGTAGTAATTAGTGCATTCTGCCTTAATCTGACGGCATAAGGTTTTGTAGTGGTTTTTCTAGTGAATCCAAACCATGCAAATGTGAGTAAATAAATAGACAGAACTTTGGTGAGAAGGTTACTGTGTTCTGTATTTTCATGCTGGCCACATGATGACAGAAAAGTTTACAGAGTATGCAGGCTCCCTTAGCTGAGAATTGGGGAGGAGTACTGTATGTAACCTTATTCATAGACAATTTAATTCTACTACAAAATAGTCCTTCTAATAATTCTATTACATAGAACATACTTGTGTAAGAAGGTGTCAGACAATTTAGATAGACATACTTAAACATTTCAGAGGAGGGCTTGAAACCAATATCCCAAATCTTGTCTCTATAAATCTGACATGGTTAGGAGAACTTGGCAGGCTTAACAGTGCTCATTTAAATACATTTGGCTTATAATTCTTAGCAATATTGGCTAGAAATTCTGAAAATTACAAACATCTGGAGGGCATCTGGGAAGGCTGAGCAAATAAATTAAGAATTTCTTTGTATCCAATTTTGTTTATGAACAATTATAGATTCGTTATATATTTCATATATCAGCTTTGATCCATCCTTCTTCAAACATCGAAGTTACTTGTCCGTGAACACACTGTCTTACGCTTTAGTGATTATATATATTTATGAAATCATCCCACTATTAATTAATGTTAATTATGCAGGTCATTGCCAAGTCTCTAAAACAAGAATCTCTACAAAGAAAATGCCATCTGGCATGTCATCTGTTCTTTGCAAGAGATAAATAAAATAGCAATATCCACACAGACAAAAAATGTACAGTGAAATCATGTTTATTTATATTTTAAGGACAGGCCACTATAGAACATTCCTTTGTCTAATCAATGCACAATAGAGTTTATGCATACCAAGTGATTACCATTGATACTAGTGAAAAACTACAAATGTAAGTCATGGAAAAAAATATAATCCTTGAGGCTAGGAAATGATTTTGGCACTACAATATATTATTTTCTTATAATGAAAATCTAATCAATTGTTATCATATGTCCTATTGCATCAAAGAACAAAATATATCACTTTTGCACAGAATCACTTTTACTGCTTACTCATGTGATTTAGATTTACACTGCAAATAAATACACTTTGCAAGTTAGGCTGCCCGTATTTTTTTTCTTTCTCTCTTTTTCAATACAGGGACTATTCAAACTAAAACTTCTAAGGGTGCCAAGAGACTGAATTTTATTATTCCTCTGTTGAACTTTAATTATAAGTGAAATAGAAATTCTCTAATATGCTTTTATTCATTAAAGATCTTATTATTTAGATAAATAAGAGGGAACAGGCTGCGGAGGTCAGAAATAGATTTTAAAAAGTCATAT